GGGCGGCGAGAGAACCAGGGCGAGCCGCGCAGTGCAGACCCGGGTGCCCGGGCTGTGTCGGCCCGCAGGCGGAGTAGGGGCGGGGGGCGATCTCGCAGAGTCCCGGCGCTCCCTTTCCTTTTCTTCTTGCATCTGGGTGCACCCCACCCCCGCCCCCCGCCCCAAGACGACGACCACCAAGAAGGGCCACTCGGAGACAGGCTGTTTCTAGAGACTAGCTTTACTGTACTAGAGGCACAGGGTCCCCACATCCGGCCCTTGTCTTTGCCTCGCCCAGGCCTCCCGCTCCAGCCTGCTGAGGTAGCACCCTCAGCCTACCCTCAGGGTAGGGCAGGAAGCGAGCAGCCTTTACTGGGGAAGATGGGTCAGCAGCTTGCTGGGCTCGCTGTGCTCACTACCTCACAGTGCTCGCTCTGTTCACCACCTGGGAGGCTGGAGCCCTGGCTGAGGTTTCGAGAGGTTCAAGGGCACACTCTGGGTGGGTTGTAGGGCATGGGTGCTTGGCCCTCAGCAGCTGCAGCTTTCACTTGGCTCTGTCACCTTGGGCTGCCAGGACACAAGCCTTTCCATGCTTCTTCCAATGCTTGACTTGGCACTCCCTGCAGGCAGGTGGGCTGGTAAGCATGCAGTGCTTGTGCGGGGTATAGAAGTGGGGCTTAGGGGTCCAAGTTCCTAGGATACCCTCACCTGCAGCAATACCATTCATTCTGGCACCGTGAGCACCGTTTGGAGGCATCTGCACTGCAGTAGGCACAGCGGGGCCGCTCTGGGGTTACTGCCTCTAGGATGTCCAGGCTGTAGGTCTCAGCCCATCTAAGAAAGAGGTCAGGAAAGGCTGGCTGTGCCTGGCCGGTGGGGGCACAAGAGCACCCCTGCCCGTGTCCATGCCTTCTGCATACCTCCTACCCCTTCTGCCCACTCAGTGGGCCTCACCTTTGTGCCTGTAGTCGCAGGTCCTGCTCTGAAGGGCTGAATATGTGCCTTAGCTGGTGCTTGGCAATAGCCTGCCACTTGCCTCTGTTCTCTCTTTCTAGCCGCTCCCAGATTTCTGGGATCTGAGGGAGAAAAGTGGAAAGTGTCAGGGAGGAGCTGGCAAGGTGGGCAGTAGTCCTGAGCAGCTCACTTCCTGGTACCTACCTGTTCCAACACCAAGTCCTTCTTTGGGGGCTGAGTTTCAGTCAGGGCCAGGTGGGCCAGGAAACCCTGCAGGTCTGCCAGGTTGGGCAGCTGGTCGAGCAGTGTGTCTGTGAGGAAGGCCCGAAGCTGCAAGGGAGTCCAGGGAAGGCCAGTGTGAAGTGGTGCTGACCAGGGAGGGCCTGGGCTAGGGTGCCTGTGGGGACCACGTCCCACTAGCTGCTGCGACACCTGAGCTTCAGGGTCTGGAAAGAGGACTGGGGCTGAGGGAGGTGGGCAGTGATAAGCAGCAGGGGTGGGGCAGGGCAGGGTGGGATGGGGTGGCACTGGTGCAGGAGGAGCTCCCCCACCTTGAGTAGCTGTCCCTTGGCAAAGCTGGTGACGCAGTAGCGGGTCCGGGCTTCGGGGCTTAGCAGCAGGTTGTATAGGGCGATCCACACCTGCCCATCCAACTTGCTCAGTTTTGGCTGCTCTGTGGGGGCCACTGTCTGCCAACGGCCACCCTCAAATTGCTGCATCTTGCCTGGGGAGAAGAGCCAGCACACTAGGAGCAGGTGTTACACACTCTTTGAGTCGGCCAGCTGAATGGGCTGGGGTCCTGAGTACTGTCTGGGTGCACGACTCGCCAAGGCTGGTGTCTGCTTGCTCCAGAGCAGGGTGAGTCTTTTTTTTTTTTTTTTTTTGAATTTTTTATTTATTTATGATAGTCACACACAGAGGGAGAGAGAGAGAGGCAGAGACATAGGCAGAGGGAGAAGCAGGCTCCATGCACCGGGAGCCCGACGTGGGATTCGATCCCGGGTCTCCAGGATCGCGCCCTGGGCCAAAGGCAGGCGCCAAACCGCTGCGCCACCCAGGGATCCCTGAGCAGGGTGAGTCTTTAGCAGTGGACACACAGGCCTTACCTGCTGCAGAGCCCAGGTCTAAGCTAGTTTGTGTGAGGCATTCTGGGCTCCTCTATGAGCTAGCAGGCAGTTTGTGTGTAAGCTGCCTGTCCCCATCAATCCTGGGGTATGTCTGGGAAGCCATGAGCTGGGGCTTAGGCAAGGGGGTGGGGAAGACCTTACCACCTTCCTGTCGGCTCCAGGGACTGTGTTCCAGCAGTTCCACCAGGAGGCAGGGCAAGTTGTGGGTACTGAGCATGCAGTTCAAGGTGCTCAAGGAAAGGCTAGGGGTGGTGGTGGAGAGAAGTGAGCGGCGGCTACAGGCCCAGGATCCCAGTCCTCCACTGCAGGTCTCAGGCCTTGCAGGACTGCCCACCTGTCCACACAGTCTGTGATGTAGCGCAGCACTGAGAGGGCCTTCAATGCGATCTCAAACTCCATCAGCTCTGCCTGCTTCTGCAGCTCCTGGGTGGCAGGGGCACATGGTGCTCTAGCTGGGCCACCCCCTGCCTGCTCAGGCCTTGAGAGAGCCTGTTATACCCACTGGCACCTCCAGGGACCCTCAGCCTACCTGTATGGGGGTGCTCTCCTGAGACTCCTCCTCCTCGGGAGGGCTGCCACGGCCACTCCGGGCCACCAACATAGTCAGTTTTCGGTGGCAGTAGTCTACCAGGTCCAAGACAGCATCCTCTGCTGACTCACACACCTCCTGAGGGACAGGCAGAGGGGAACATTCTGTCTCTGATGCTCTCCCCACACAGACACAACCCCTCTTCCCAGTCAGGCCTTAGCCTGGGGCAACAGCTTGTGGACAGGGCTGATGCCTCACTTTATGGAAGAACACTGTCTCCAGAAGGTTGATGATGGAGGCCTCGTGGTGTACCTGTCAGATAAAGAGAACAGAGCGTGGAGCCACTGAAAGAAGAATCAGATTACCAGCTCTCTTGTCAAATCCAGAGCCCTCTAAAGGCATGAGCAGGGTGTGACCAGGGGCCCAGCTTACCACCATGTATATGGGAAAAGTGTTCTGGGGCTTGAAGTCCTCCAGCTTGCACAGCACAGGGAACACCTTCTGCTTCCACATCTCCACTGCAATCAGCTCCTCCACCAGTGTTGGGATCTTTGAGGGGGAGAGGAAAGGACAGAGATGAAGTAGGCCTACCTTGGCCTTGCCACCCTCCCATCCCTGGCTTGGTCCTGCCTGACTCCTCAAACTCCCCTAGGCTCCTAGATTCTCTCCATAGGTACCTTCCCAAGCTCTCTCCTGCACCTTAGACCTTCATTTCTAGCTGCTCTCAATAACTTTGTGGGGACATTTCCCATGCTTCCTATAACTGGCTCTTGCTTTGTCCCTGGGCTGCCTTGGCCCCCGACACCCCCCCCCCCAACTACACCCTTGTCCCCTCTGTCCTCATCCAGGTGTTCCTCTCAGGCTGGCTCTCCTGTTCATGCCCTCCTTGTCCCTGTCCTCCTGCCTTCCAGGGTTCTCATGTGCCTTGACCTCACCCTTACTCAGAGCCCTGCACAATTTCCTAGTCCTCTCCCACCCTCCCGTAGGGGGCTCCACCTTTTCTTTGCAGAGGAACCCTTTTGTCAAGTGATATCTCAGGTCATTTATTTGAGTCACCTCCTGGCTCATTTTTCAGGCAGGCTCATCCCTGGTTTCTAATTCTTCTCTCAAGTTATGAAGGCTGCCTTCTTCCATGCCAAAGTCCCATCTCCACTTCAGTGAGGGCCCCCTCTGGCCTGACAGTCTATTCAAGGATGTCTTTAGAACGTAGGCTCTCCCCCTACAGCCTGGGCTGCTGTATGATCTAAGACTATCTCTCAAATCAACCAACGTCTCACACTTGGCCCAGTGTGCCAGTGTCCTGTCCAAAAGGGATGCAAAATCAAATCTGTAACACACTCCTCTCTTTTCTCTTGGGGAAGACAAGAGTACCACCTAGAGGGAAGTGAAGGCATCCGAGGTGCTCCTGAGAGGTAGAGTGGTGGGGTGAGAGGTGGTAGGAAGGGCAGGAACCCTGCCCGTGACCCCAGCATACCTTCCTATGGGTGACCAGCAGCTCCTGGATGGGCTCACCCTGGCTGGCTGTAGCATCAAGGATAGCCTGCATGTTCAACTTCTCCAGGTTCTCATGCTGCTGGTTCCACCTGCCCCAGAGAGAGTGGATGTGTTTTGGGGTACTACTGAAGCCTAACCTGGGTTTGGGTACTATTGCATTTGGGTATTACTGAACCTAATCAGCCTAACCTGATCCTGAGGGGCCAGAGGGGACTCAGGACCATATACCCCCTAACTCAGAGATCTTTGTCTCCTCACTTGGGGATTCCTCCACACTGGGTACCCTCTCCCCCGTGTCAGGCCCATACTCCTCCATTCAAGGACTCTGACTCTGTGACACCGCCTGACCCTTGGATCCAGCTGCCTCACCCTCCAGAGCCCATCTCCCGCAGCGGGAAGCTGCGCAGCCCCCGCACCAGCACGTCAGCCTCCCCGGGCAGCAGCAGCTCCAGGTCGCCCATGTTGTGGCCAGGGCCAGAGAGCCAGAAAGCGGGATTCAGTTGACCCCGGACAGCAGCCGGCGCCGAGGCAGGGGAGTCGAAAGTCTCCCGCTGGGTCCAGGTTGCGGACGCAGCTGTTGCGGAGCGGTTGGGGCGCGCGGATCCTCGCCGTCATGGAAACGGTTAGCTCGGCGCCTGCGCAGTGCGGCCCGGGCAGGCTCCGGCCCCGCCCCCGGCCGCCACGCCTTCCCCGCGGCGGGTAAGGAAGCCCCTTGGACTCCCAAACTTCTCCTTCACCTCCGACTGCGGCTCGAGGGTCTGCCCTGAGCGACAGACTCCTGTGGCCTAAGCTCCCTCCTCCGACGTCAAGACCAGCACAAGGACAGGGTCATGCTGCCCCCACCAGCTCTTCCTGCCGCGGCTCCAACTCCGCCGCGCGGATGTCCCTCTCCGTGGCTTTCTCGCTCCAGTACGTCTGGCGCCGGGCTCCGCCTGCTGGCTCTACCCCCCAAGGTACTGCGCAGGGGCCACTTCTTTCCATCCCAGTCTAACAGGCTGCCACCACCTCTCGTGAGGAACTGCTGTAATCTTTTTCTGGGTGACTGTATGGCTGCCTCCAGTTCTTGAAATAGTATGTCCAAACCAGCTTACCAGCATCTCTGCAGTATCACTTTTGCCCTTTCCGTACTTCATTTCTTGCCCCTTTCCCCATTGCCTCTTATGTTCCAGCCTTGTGGGCCTCTCTTGAGTTCCTCATACATCCTAAAGCTGTTTTTGCTTCGGGGCTTTTGCACCTGTTACCCCAACCTGGAATACTCTTCCTCCATCAAGCCTCAGTTCAAGTCACCTCAGGGAGGCCTTCCTTGCTTATTTAATCCAGAACAGCTTCAGCTCCCACCCCACCCCATTCTTGATCACAGCTTCCTGATTGTTTCTTTCTGGCTGTTTATTTCAGTTCCTAATTAGTGGACACATTTGTCCATAGTTAGTCCTGCCCACCAGATGGCGCAGCAGCGGGCCAGGACCACAGCTATTTTACTGCCAGTTCTCAGGTGGCTGGTTCAGAGGCGATACTCAATAAAGGTAGGTTCAAACAGATGCTTTTATTTACAGGACTGAGGGTCACCCTTGAGACAATACGGACTAGTCTACGGGTCTAGCCCTCATGCACCAGACGGCGCTTTGCAGGACGAAAGCAGCCACAGTCGTGTGCCTAGTTTAGCCCCCACCAGCCTCATTTCCAGCAGATGATGATATTGGGGTCATTTTCCAGCCGTTCATCAAGCTCGTGGTAGCTCATGCCTGTTTGGAACAGTGCAGGTGAGGTGAGCAGTCTTGCCTTGGCCACCTGCCCTGACCCCACCCCAGCTGCAATTTCTGCCTCCACCTGTCTTGCAACAGATCTCATCATAGCTGTGGCAGCCTGTGTAAAGCCGGGCAGGGTGGCTCCGCTCCTCCCGAGACACCCGCACGGGATACTTCTGTAGTCGGCGGATGAGGTTCTTCATAAGACCGAACTGGATCAGCTTCCTGGGGTGGGGTTGAGGGAGAGAAGAGTGATGCCCTGGCTGGGCCTTCCTCCAGGCAAGCCAACCCTTTTCTGCAGTCTCCCCTCAGATTTCGTCTCAATGACCAGACTGCCTTCCAAACCCAAAGCCTGGGGTTTTGGAAAGCCTGCCTAGACTAGTAGTGCCACATGATTCTGCTCACTGGGAATCTCCTGCTTCCTCTCTAACCCAAGGCTCCAGAGACGTAGAGTGTATATGCTTTCAGGTAAACCCCTCATGACCCTGGGAATCCCCTTCTGACCGTTCATCAACACGCTGCAGCTGCTGGGGGTGGCGGCCAATGAGGTCTCTCACAGTAGTGCCAGGGCTCAAGCTGCAATATAGCTGGAACACATCCCGAAGGCTGGCCCTCTTGTGCCCTGTGGGTACCAGGGGTCAGCTCTGTAGGTGGCTCTGCACCCCCCCCCCACCCCGCCATGGCCTCCCCCAGAGCCCACTACTACCTTGTTTGGTCACATAGGATAAACATGCCTCTTGCAGGGACTTGTCATCTACCAGATCCTGGACCTTCGGTGTTGGGCAGTACACATTGGAATACTGGAGGGTAGCAGGAGGCACAGGGGCCTGAGTGAGAGGCTTGGAAATCTGACATAGCCCTAGTCTGGCCAAGCCACATGATTCACTCTCCCCTTAACCAAAGCCCAGACTCACCTACCTGGAGGATGGACACCAGTGTCACAACTCCATAATACCTGGGGGAGATAGTGTGCTCAGCTTCTGAGGGTCATGCCTTCCCACCCCACACACTCAGTGTCCTGGGGCTCTTCCTTGGCTAGCAGCTCTGTCCTGAGTGTGGCTGTTGCCCTACTCACAACAAATTCTGGATGGCGATGCGCACCAGGTTTAGCTCCACATCTGCCTCAGCTGAGATCTTCTGGACATGGCGGAAGCCATCAATGTAGGGCAGGATCTGGGCAGGGCAGGATCAGTAGGGGTGGGATGAGGCCAGAGCTGTGGCCACCCCTAGGTGATGATACCCAGGGAGGGACAGCACACCTGTTGTGTGGTGAGGTCCCATTGTGAGTTGAAGAAATCTTCCTTGTCCTTGGTAAAGACAGGCACATCATACTCCTGCGCCACAGGAGGGTCAGGCCGCTGCTCAATCACCTTCAAGTGGATGGTGTTGGATTCATCTGCAGGGGCCCCACCCATATCTTCAGTGTCATCTCTTTCAAGAGGCCCTCAATTACCCCTCAGTCCTCCCAGCAACCCTTGAAGCAGATAGGTGGCCCTGGGTAGGGCCGATCTCCCCTACCCCCCACTTCTTAAGTAAGCTCTGCGTCCAACGTGGGGCTTGAACTCACAACCTCAAGATCAAGACTCACATGCTCTACTGACTGAGCCAGCCAGACACCCCCAATCTTCCTTTTTTTATGGAGCAAAAGACAGGCCCAGAGAGGAACAGGAACATGCCAAAGGAGCATAGACAGCTCTCTGCTGGCCTCCATATCCCAAATCCCAACATGCATTTGACTCTGGACATCATCAACCCAGCTCATGGCTATTTATTAGCCATCAATTTGTTCATGAATCTTGTCCATGGCTGGGCTTGCCTTCCCTTGCCATGTTCCTATCCCTCTTCTACCCCTCTGTTCTCCTTGGCAAAGGCTGGGTCATACCGATCGGCAGAGTGCACCGGCCTGAGGCATTTAGCTCCTCCAGCAAGATGGTCATGATGGGCACCAATTTCTGCTTGCTCTCCTCTGTTGACACGAAGCTGCTCTCTAGCTGGATGGAGCATGGACAAGATGGTGGGTATACCCTGGGACCCCTGGCTGGCATCCTACCCTGGCAGATACCTAGGTCTGCAGGGCTTTGGAAACATTTGTCTGCCTGCCCATCCACTCAAGCCCATTCTGTTGCAGACCTCCAGTGTGGTCAGGTAGCCAGCCAGCTTTTTGACGATGGGCTCGAGGGCACAGGTCTTGGCCTGGGCATCACACACAAAGCCTAGGTTGAAAAGCAGGGCATTGCGGCTGTACTTCTTGTGTTCAATGCACACAGGGCAGCCAATCAGTTTCTTGTCCATGGCTGTGCTGGATGTGGGGGGGAGGGGGAGAGGTGGGTACAGAGTCAGGCTCCTCCTGACCCAAGCTTGTTCACTTCTCCTGGGACATTCCCGCGCCCCCCCCCCCCCCGCCCTTCCCCGTTAGGGCCTCACACAGTGATGAGTTTGTTCTGCAGCTCTGGCTTGGTGATGATGTACACCTGGACTGTGTCAAACAGCTCCCTGGAGATGAAGTCTTCAGGGACCTAGGGGTGAGGGAGTGGGGGAGTGGCAAGAGGCCCCTCAGTGGACCCTGGGACTAAGCAGAGTACAGTAGGAGATCCCCAAGGCCTAAGCCCTCTTGTCCATTGTTTCTCCTCTCTCCCATCCACCCAGACCTACTCCTCCTTTGTGTTTCCAAACACTTGCCATGTTCTTACCTGCTTCCTGGCTTTTGCATATGCTGTTTCCCCTACCTGGCACACTCTCCTCCTTCACCTAAGTTCCTAAGCATCCAGGAATACTATTGGACTGCGCGCCCCCGCCTCTCTTGGACCTGGCACCTCCCCACAGACCGACTTCCCACAATCACTGCCTATGGGATTGTTTGCCCCATCAACACGGGAGCCTGGGACTTGGGTCTGAGTATCCTCTCGGTCACGATTCTCTGCGAATGAAGAAGTGGTATGCCTGCGTGCAGCACCGGGCACGGGAATCCACCGCTTCCAGGAAGCTTGCTGAGCTCCTGAGAGCGTCCCTCTTCCACCGCCCCCCCGGCCCTGAGAGCCCGAATAGCACCTGATAAGTGATTTTGGGTCCCAGCGTGGGATGGAACTCGCTGAAGAATATGCATTCGATGCGGCAACCGCTGCCCATGGTGCTGGCAGGGCCCAGGTCTGCAGCCCCTGGCGCCCGGACCCCTGTAAACACCCGTCGGAATCAGCCCGCAGGCCTGGAGCTCCAGATCACGCACGCCTGCGCACTCACACCCGTTAAGCTGTGTGCTTAACAGCGCCTGCGCAGCTCGACTGAGCGGTGTGGCTGGGCGTGGGGGCGCTCGTATCAGGAAATCCCGGCTGGGTAGACGTCGCACCCGGAAGTGAAGCGGCTCCGCGACGGAGCGGCGGCTCGCACGGCAGGGCCCCGGGTACCCCGCTTTCTCGGGAAGAAGCCACCGCGTCGGGTCAGCGCTGCGGGTGAGGCAGGCGAGTCCCTAGCGTGTAGGGGCAGCATGCCAGCAGCACGTGGGGAGACTAGTGCGCGAAGGGATTCAGGCTGTACTATGATACGCAGATGGGAACTACAAAGCCCGTAGTGCTTCACGCTCTTCTAGCTGCTGCTTCCGCGCGGCGACGGCATGATGCACGCTGGGATTTGTAGTCTATTACATGGCCTTGCGCATCCTACCTGGAAGGTGGGCCAGTGATCAGTGCCAGCCAGTTCAGATGCGGGTACACGCTGCCAGTCCTCGACTATTCCTGGTACCCGTGTTGGTACTGTCCCTTCCTACCTTACTTCTTGGAAGAGCGTGGCATTCCTGCCCTGCAACTCTTGCTCCAGTGAGGAGTGGACAGCAGGCACCTCAGACCCTTGCTCATTCTACTATGCTTTCAGGCTACAGTCACTGGCCTGGTTGACCATGGCTCTTTCTGTGGAGACGGAGTCGCACATCTACAGAGCTCTGCGCACTGCCTCTGGGGCTGCTGCCCACCTTGTGGCCCTGGGTTTTACCATCTTTGTGGCTGTGCTTGCCAGGCCTGGCTCCAGTAAGTAGAATTCATAGTTGACTTCTGGAAAGGAAAGTGCGCCTTCTCTTGGGGAGCAGGAGCAATAGGAAGCCTTGGGCCTGACACCTGGGAAAGGCTTGGCTGGTTGGGCGACATCCTATGCTGGAGGGATAAGTGGGGAGGAGGTGAGTGTTAGGGGCTCTACCAGTTTGGCCAAGGTACCTGGCTTCTCTGGTTTTGGTGCTCCACTTGGCTACCTTTTGTGAAGTGCTATAAGGAGGGAGGACTGCCAGAGTGGCAAAGGATGGCCTCTGCTCCAGGGAGGGACCAGGAAGCAAGGATAAGTAGGGGGTGCGCTTGTTGCAGTAAGAGGGGGCTAGCATTTTGGCAGCACTTCCTTGGATGATGGGTGGCTCATTTTCCTCACCCTGTAGGGATTGGTGTGGCTGGGTTCTTCTTGCCTCAGCCTCACAAAACCTCTTTTTCATTCCAGGTCTGTTCTCCTGGCACCCCACACTTATGTCTTTGGCTGTAAGTAGTGGGCCTGGCCAGCTCTTAGGGGTGGGAGGGAGCATAGATACCAGGGGTGGCCCTGACAGGTCTTTGGAGGGATGGAATGTGGGATTGGAAAAGTTGCATGCTCCAACTCCTGCCCATGGTATATATCCCAGACTGGAACTGTAGTGTTCAAAACCCAGGGCAAATTTGTCTAAGCATAAGATGAGACTTCACCTATCTTCAGGCAGGAAGCTTAGAAAATGCATTTGAGTGTACCTGTGTTCCCTTTTACCTTAATAGCGATGCATCTAATTTTCCCTGAAACAGTGCACCCATGTGGCCAGCTCTTGCCAAGAAATTGTATCTAGCTCCGTTCAAGGAAACAAAGCTTGTGAATCATTTATAACTGCCACATCTCAAACCTTGTGTTTGCTGGGTAATAGAGCAGAGATGACATTTCAAAATACCACCTAGGAAGGAGTGTGGAGAGGTGCATACCTCTTGCCAGTTTTTTGGGGCACATGTTCTGTCCCTGATGGAGTTCCTCACTCCTGCCCCACCCAATGGATACTCTTGTCATTGGGGAGAGAATGAAGAGGTGAACTCTGCCCAGAATGACTGGCAGTTTAGAAAGTTATCTAAATCTCTTTTTTCTTCTGCTGGGCAGCAACCTAACTTCGTTTCCCATCCCTATCTCCCCAGTTCTCTTTCCTGATGACTGAAGCACTGCTGGTGTTCTCTCCTGAGAGTTCGCTGCTGCGCTCCCTCTCACGGAAGGGCCGAGCACGCTGCCACTGGGTTCTGCAGCTGCTGGCCCTGCTGTGTGCACTGCTGGGCCTAGGTCTTGTCATCCTCCACAAGGAACAGCTTGGCAAAGCCCACCTGGCCACGTGGCATGGGCGGGCAGGGCTGATAGCTGTGCTATGGGCGGGGTTGCAATGCTCAGGTGGGGTGGGGCTGCTCTACCCTAAACTGCTACCCCGATGGCCCCTGGCTAAGCTCAAGTTATACCATGCCACTTCTGGGCTAGTAGGCTACCTTTTGGGCACTGCCAGCCTTTTGTTGGGCATGTGTTCACTGTGGTTCACCGCCACGGTCACTGGTGGGGTCTGGTATCTGGCTGTGCTCTGCCCTGTCATTACCAGCTTGGTCATCATGAATCAGGTGAGCAATGCCTACCTGTACCGCAAAAGGATCCAGCCGTGAGCTCTTCCCAGCCTAGAAGCCTGGATTTGCCTCTCAGTGTAGTAGCTGGGGCTGGAACCTCCTGGACTCTTTCAGCTAAGTCATGGGGACACCTCAGGCACTGGGGCAGTCTAGAGTAGGAGTCTTGTGTGTGACATTTTTGGTTGCTCCTCATCCTGGAGTGCCTCCCCTTTCCTTCTGTACTGTCCCAGAGGAGCTTACAGATGATGTGTCTGGATGAAATTGGGGTTGCAAGGCTACTTCCCCAGCAACTCAACTCGTACTTGTACTGGTATGTCCAGAAATTACAGGAGAGAAAAAAAAATAAAAAAGAATGACTGAAAAGACTGAATGGGAGGAATAGCTTAGAGCTGGGGATAGTTTTTGCTAATGCATGAAAAAACATACAGCTGGGCAGGATGGGGAGCCCTGTCCCTGACCACTCACTGAGGGGCTGAAGCTCTCCCAGCACGCAAGCTCCCAGGATCTGGCTGCTGAGTGCCCTCTGCCACCAGGGCCCTAGAGCTATAGCTGTGAATGGTACAGCTGTGTGTCCCTTCAGTGTCCCAGCTGCCCACTGTGCTGGTATCTCTAGACTGTGGTGGTTAGATGTGGACAACGACAAGATACGGAGTTGGGGATGGGCTATTTCCATAGGCGTCAAGCACTGAGCACTCTGTTTTTGGCATGAGCCATCAATAACAGCTCTTGAGGATAGAGGGGCCCTCAACCATCAGATCTGGGCAGGGCCTTCCTGACTGGGAATCAGGGAGAGAAAATGAGTAGGGATCTGAAGTGATAGCTCTGGGAGGTTATTTAATGGTGGGCATGTGGTGGTAGGGGGAGTGGGGGCAAAAGGCTTCTTACTGAGCTGGAGTTGCCATGGAGACCAAGCCCTAGAACCTAGAGTAAAGTCCCTAACTTTGTAGTTGAACATGATGAGGGGGCTGCATGAGGTGGTCTGACAGAGCTTAGGAGCCATACCTCAAAGAACTGCTTTATTGATAACTGCGAGGCTGGGCATGGCTGCCCACTCAAGTGGTCCTGTAGAAAATACTTGGGAGCTGTGGCTCTTCTGGCCCAGAAGCAGCCATAGCCACCACAGCAGAGGGAATCAGAAATCTTCACATGAACATAGTCTTTCTGAGAGTGGGCAGGGAATTGCAGCCCTGCGCTGGCTGGACCCCCAGAATGTTTTTGGCAAATCCTTGCCTTGGCTCAGGGCTCTTGGCAACCAGTATGAGGCATAAGGGTTGGCCCAGGAGCTGTGGCACCAGTGTCCCTGCAGCCACCTGCTTGGGGCTCTCTGCTGAGGTACAGTCTTACCTCAGATGGCCTGGGCTGGCTGATGCCTGGCATAGTGGTTGTCTGGAGTTGGAACCAGATAGCAAGAGTCCTGGGTAGTGTTGGCGAGAAATAGCAGAAGGCTGTGGAAACCCCCAGCAGGCCTTCTTCCCTCTCCTCAGAGCAGTCAGTGCCCTGGAGTAGCTGAGAGGTGTCAAGGGGGGCTTGGGAGAGGAGGTGCTATACTCAGGGTGGTCTGGAGTTACAGCTTCGGGGGAGCTGCCTCGAAGGTGATCAGGCTGGATTCTGGGGCAGCCGCCTTCCCTGGGAGTGTGGGAGCCTTGTCTGAGGGTAGGGGGCTATCCACCTTAGCCCCTGCCTCCTCTTCATCGTCATCCATGCTAGGCCAGACGGACTGGTCCTCCACTCTCTTCAGCCGCTCATTGAGGGCCTTCAGGGCCAGTTGCCTGGAGCCAGAGGAAAGATGACAAGTCACTTTAGGTTTGGATTTGGCTCATGCCCTATACATTTCCCCATGAAGCTGACTCCTCCTACCACCCAGACTTCTCGCAGAATCCTGTGCAGGGACTGGACAGGGCCCAATCTGCCATCAGAAGGAGGATTCAAAGGCTACATAGAGCCTTCTCTTCATAGGGCAATTCCAGGCTGAGAAGGTCAGTAGGGTGTCTGGTAGACTGCCCAGCAGGCCAGGCTCAGGAATGATTCTTTTTTTTTTTTTTTTTAAAGTGAAGGATTTTTTTTAAAAATTATTATTTATGATAGTCACAGAGAGAGAGAGAGAGAGGCAGAGACACAGGCAGAGGGAGAAGCAGGCTCCATGCACCGGGAGCCCGATGTGGGATTCGATCCCGGGTCTCCAGGATCGCGCCCTGGGCCAAAGGCAGGCGCCAAACCGCTGTGCCACCCAGGGATCCCTCAGGAATGATTCTAAGGGTGATGCCTAAGCATGGACAAAGCTGGTAACCCAAGGAAGATGGGTGGAAGGGTAAGTCACTTGGATGTGGACACTAGCATCACATCCATGGAGAGGGTTATTACTTCTTTCTCTCCTTGTTAGGTGTGTTTTGAGACTTGGCAAGGGTTGAAGGGGAATGCTGGAACTCAAGCACCTATGTTGGATCTCAATCTGGGAAGCAGGGCCAACTTAGGTCAGCCCATCCTTCCTGACTACCCCAAAGCCACCAGGACCCGTGTTAGAGCAGGAACATACCAAGTGCTTGCAGAAAAGAGGAGGAACAGCGTATGTGTATAGGACACAAGCCAGAGCATTCTGGTTCCAATGGACAAATCCTTTTGGACCTCACTTTGAGGGGAGGTGGGAAAGTTGACTGGAAGGTATACACGTGTGCTTGTGACCCTACCCAGGAGGTGGAATGCCCATGCTGCCAGGTAATACTTCCAACAGTGGTCACTGTGGAACCTTGATGTCTCACCCTGTCTGTGCTGTAGGTATGGGGGACAGCCTATAATAGCCTTCTAAATTCCAACAGAGAAGCAAAGCCTCCAACGTGTCAGGAAACATGACAGGAAAGGCAACAAGAACATGGGCACAGAAAACCCTAGCACAATTCCACCGTGTGCTCCAGCCTGACACATGGCAAATTGGCACAGAAAGGACAGTTCTTCCTCATGCTACCCAGGCTCCCATCTTGGAGACTGCCTTGGCAATTCTCTCTAAAGCCTGCTAAAATGGAGAGACAGTGGCATACTAATAACTTTCTCACAATGGTCAAAGATAGGAAACCCTGCCTCCCACTACTAATAGCCCTTTGGGCTTGGGCATGGCATGCTGCCAGATGCCCAACTGGTTGAAGAAGTAACAACCACAAGGCTGTGTCAAGAACCTGCCCCCTGACAACCTTCTGTACCCCGGTCTGCCATTTCTTGGGCCAAAGCAGAGGGGTTTTGAATTTCCAGCCAACTCTAGCAATCCAAGACTCACTAAAGGAGGAGTCACCACTGGGAGCTGCAGAGCTCTGAGGACAGCTCAGTTTCTATCAGGTCTAGCCCTCTCTTGGTCCTACCTCTCCACTGGATAAAGTGAAGACAGAGTTCAGTCTTTAGGATTCATCAGCTACAGAGACACTATAGGGCCCACATACGACCTGCAGCATGCTTTGTGTGCTTTTCAACACCCACCACTTTAGGCAGTAGTAATCTGTGGCCCTTCCCCAGCTGGAAACTCCTTCAAGAAAGGGGTGTGTCTCATGCTCTACTCCACCGCCCAGCGGAGAGTAAGCACAGGGATAACCTTTCAGCTTAATTCATAAAGCTGCCTGCCAAGAATCCATTTCACAGGTGAGCAAAAGTAGAAGCCTTTGACAAACCAGAAAGTAGGAACAGAGTCTGCTCCAGATTTTGCCACTAAAGTAACTGCCTCAAAATACCCCTCAGCGATAATGTTGGAAACGGAGTAGTGACAATTCTGGTGAGTCTACGGACCTGGGAGAGAGGGATGGAGGGAGGGGGGAGGGAGGGAGGGAGGGAGAGGGGGGAGAGAGAGAGAGTGAGAGAGAGAGAGAGAGGGAGGGAGGGAGGGAGGACTGGATTAAAAAAGATCTGCCCTGCCCTGTCCAAGGTGCATCCAGTGAATAATTCAGCTGGGACTCCAGATGGTGCAGATGGCTTAATTTACAGGTAATGAAAACAATCATCTCCACTCCCTGTGTGGTCAGCAGGCTCCCTTGGTGGGTCACATGGGCTGTCCCCTGGGTTTGGTGTCACATACATGCTGAAAGGACAGAGTGGTAAATCTAGTAATACCCCTAAGGTTCCCTCTCAAATACATGGCAGAGAAGCACAGCATCTGAATTAAGACCCAGGAAGAGGATATGGTTCAGCATTTTGAATTTGGGGTGGCCCAGACTGCCTCATAAAGAAGGTCTCCTTGTCTGTCTCTCACTGGGGATATAGGACCAGTAGATTGTTTCTGGCTCCCACAGGACCTGTGTCTAGGATTCCAAGATTCTGAGACAATGCCAGGATTATGTGTATCTGGCTGTCCATTAGCCCCTCACACAGTATCAAAGGAAACTGGGCATCTCTTAGGACTTATTAAGCTGTCTGAGTGGTGAGAAAGGCAAATTTCACTCTAATGTAGGAAAGCACTACTGGAGCCCAGCATGTAAATGCTGAGTTTCTCAAGGCCACAAACCAGATTTTATCTCCTGAGGCTGCCCCAACACCTGACCCTTGGCTGCCAGTCAACACACAGCAAGCACAACAGATGGAATGGGACTTGATCAATAAAAAGTCTTAGCTCAGTAAGGTTTTGGAAGACTCCACAGTACCTTCTCCGCTCTGCGTCTTGAGGGTCTGTGCCTGGGAGGCTGATGGTGATGGAAGATGGGGCACCTACATCATAGCGCTTCACTGTCTTCTGGCATATCTTTACCTTCACCAGGAGGCCGTGCACCAAGTTCGCCAACAGCCCCACCACAGGCTGCAGGATCTCAGGAAAGAAGGTGGCAAAAGCAAAGTGGTCAGCCATATCCCCTCGGCCTCGGCTATGGCGCTGGTAGAAGCGAAGATACACCCAGCTGGAGAGCAGCCCAAAGCCATAGGAGGCCAGCGCTGGGCTCTGGAGCAGCGTGGCCAGCCGCAACAGCAGCAGCAGCCCCAAAAGCAGCATGGGAACCACGCTGACGCGCACCTGCGGCACACGCAGGACCACGCAGTCCCCCATGGTTTGCTTGAGTGCCACCAGGACACCACCTAGGAAGCCCAGGGCTCCGTGGATGCGGATAGTGAAAAGGTAGACCAAGTTGAAGGAAGCCATGTAGGTGAGGAGGTAGGCGAAGGCCCCCAGCAGCCCCACAGACACGTTCACCACTGAGAAGAAGATGAGCAGCTCCAGGGCCCCCCAGAGGGGCTCCAGCAAACGTCCAGCCACCACCACTGTGGCCAGGCTGATGGCCACATCCCACACGTGCTGTTCCATCAGCCCATGGGTGGCCAGAGTCCAGATCCAGAAATTGGGCGGAAAGAGGTAGCCTGGGGTGACCGCCAGGCAGCCCGTGTCCACGGCAAAGGACAGCAGATAGAGGAAGAGTACTGCCGCGCACAGGGTCTTTACCACCACGCTGGCGCTGGCCAGGATGGCCCCCAAGTGCTGGCGGGCGCCCGGTAGGGCGCGCTGCATCTTCCCGAAGGGCGTCGGCCTGAGGGAAGGGTCTAGTGTGTTAGGGGCCTCCCCGGGGCCTCGTCCCAGTCCGGCCCCGACGGGAGGCCCGCGCCTAGCCTAGTCACTGGCCTATGGCCCCGGTGAAGACTCCACTTCTGGTCGGGTTGGCTCCGGTCCAAAGGGCCGAGCGGGGCCTGTTAGAGGGCCCGGGACCTAGGCCCCTCCCGGGGACCCGAGCGAAGGCCCTGGGAGGCTTCGGCACGCCTGCCTGCCGGCCGGCCTGCCCACCCTGTGGGCCCCGCGCCAAGCTGACCGGGCGGGCGTTGATCTCAGGGCTCGGCCTATTCCATCCACTCGGGAGCCCTGCGGTCTGCGCGGGGATGGAGCCTAGTTCCGGGCCCCGGTCAAATCTTGTCAGCTCCGGCTCGGCCTCGGTCTTGGTCTTGGCTGCGAGCGTACCCCCTCCCTTCCCAGGCGCCGACAAACAGCACTGCTGCGCCTGCGCGCCCCGGGCAGCTGAGGGATACCCTTCCGGTTCCACGGCATGCTGGGACACCGAGTCGTGGGCCGAAGCCGGGCACGAGCGGAAGTCAGCGTTCTGCGTAAAACTACAAGTTCCAGGAAGCTGTGCGCTCCGGCCGTTCCGGTTGGGAAGAGAAGGGTGTACTGTGGAGTTGTAGTTCTCCAGACCGTTTGGTCTGGTTGTCCGGAGGCGGGGAGGAGTGAACCGGCTTCGTTAACCTCGGGAAAGCTGCGGGTCCCCGCGCGGCTGCGCAACTGCAGACACGCGCTTGCTGAATTTCCTGGTACATCTGAGTACATCTGAGTGTGTTTTGTGGACAGGCGTGTAGGTAAGAATGTAGGCGGTCTTGGTGTGCCTACCAGGGTGCGGGAACTCCCGAAATTTCCGCAGTTTCGTGTGCGCCTGACCCAGGTTGTATGAGTGTATGGGACCTGACACAGATTGGAATTCTTGCTCTGCCATTTGGCGGCTCTGTGACACTGGCCAAATTCCTCAGTTTCTTGAACCGTAAAATGGAGATGAGCGAGCGTTCAAGGGGACTGTGGTGTAAAATGCCAGTCCAGCCTGGGTGCTCAGTGAGTGTGTTGGCCAGGCTAACCTTGTTACAAGTGTGGTGGAGCTGCGCCTCGAACGCAGGTCTCCTGCCCCCAAAGAGGCAAGGCTGCGTGGGCTGCTTTTAGTGACTCTCTTCCCCACTACAGATTTCTCATCTCTGGCCCTGAGGAAGAGAGGTCACTACAGACTTGGGCCAGGGTGTCCCTGGGCCTCCACTTTACTGCATCGGTGGCTTCCTGCAGGTTGTGTCCTGTGCACGCTGTTTTTTTTTTTTTTTTTTTTTTTTTGTGTGTGTGTGTGTATTGAGTTACTTTTAAAAAATGTGCATATAATTAAAATAATTATATGTCAAAGCACATGTATAAAGTGCAGAGCCCCTTCCTTTAAGCCACTGATCTCAGTCACAACTGCACACATAGGCTTCCAGGTTACAAACGGTGTTGACATGACACCCGTTTCTTTGGGGTCTAGGTTCTCAATGGCTGCCACTCACTCTCAGGGTAGAGTTGCCAGATTTAGCAAATCAAAATACAGGGTGTTCGTGCTTGCTTCGGCAGCACATATACAAAATACAGGGTAGGGTGTTCAGTCAAATTTGAGTTTCATAAAAATGAATAGTTTTTTAGTGTAAGCATGGCCCCAGTCTTTTTAGTATAGTTATGTGTCATGCAATATTGGAGACATACTAAAAAATATTTGTTGTTTATCTGAATCCAAATTTGACTGGATGTTCTACATTTTATCTAGCAAGCCTACCCCAGGACCCAGCGCTGTTGCAAGGCATGGAGCTCTCTCAGGTTACTAGTTAGGCATTGCTCTGTGGCCAACTCATGGAGGGGAATGAGGAAGGATGTCTTTGCTAAGGACTGGAATGCCCTCCTCCATTTATTTAATATCTAAGGCCCCCCCCAGCCACAGGTCACCTCCTCTCTGAAGCCTTTGCTGATTTCTTGCCCTCCTCTCCAGGGGGGGAGAGGATTTCTCCCAAGTCTCAGTTTGTCTATCTGCAGTATGGAGATAAACTAGTACCCAACTCTAAGGTTGTAAGTTGGCTGCTTACTGGGTGAGTGCAAAGTGTGCATCATAAGAGAGTGAACATCAGTAGTACTGGGAAACCTTTACACTTGGTGGCTACTAGTTTCTCTCCTTGAAAAGACTGTGAAGGGTCACATGGACTAGGGTTGATTATTTAGAGTTGGGATTAAAATGAACACAGGCAGGCCAGAGGGAGGTCTGAGAGGATTCACCGAAACAGACTCCGTTTTCGGTTCTAGTATGAGCAACAGCAGTCAAGAGCACTGGGTCTTAAGCCTCCCCTGGGCTGGAAAGGAGCCATGGTCATGCTAGTGGGTGGGCCAGACCCTGGCCTCCTCTGGACAGCAGGATGGGGCCCTCAAGCACCAGGTCCTGGACTTGGGCCAGGTACTAACTCATTGCTCCAAGTGGGTGACCTGCCCATTAAGCCCTGGTGGTCTGACCTGATGCCTAGATGCCTGCCTAACCTCGAATCTCATCTGTCTTCTTCCACTATCCTGGCCTTTAAGGACAGCTTTTCTCAGAGGCTTTTGCAATTATATGAGACAAAGGATGTCAAGGACCCGGCATTTTGGAAACCTAAGAAGCATTATGACCTATATACCCTCTTGGGTACCTGGGTTGCATGGGTTGCAGTGGCCTTCACTCCCAGCGGAGTGGTAGATGGGACTTTGAGCTCATGGCCACCTACCTGTCTTCAAGCTACCCAATCCCCACCCTCAGGCAGACACAGTGGATGGGAACCATTTGAAGTGAAAATATGAACATTATTTAATAACTGATCTTCTGTAATAAACCATTTGAAAATATTTTACAAGGAATCACACACAATATTTTACAAAGTTTCTTGACTTTTTTGTCACTGTTGTTTTTCTGACTTGTCTGTACAAAATAGAACAACAACCAAAAAAAAGGGCAGAGAAAAGGAAATGGCCCCCCAGTCCCCCACAGATCCCCCGAGCCCGAGGTGAGGGGGCAGCCAGGTCAGGTGGGTGATGAGAAGGATCAGACCCAGCTGGGGGTTGGACAACTATCTGATGGGGATTGTTTGTCTGTTTTCCTGTTTTTTAAACTTAAAATAGATATTTTTCTATATATGTTTGATTCTGTTTTATTTTTATATTCTCCATTGAGCACCTGACTACACTACAGTTACACACACGCCCCCGCAAGACATGGCTGGCATCTAGGCTGGGTGTACAGCATGGGTGCCCACCCTGGCACCAGCAGCGGGCATGGACCATACACACACACTGAGAAAGCAACAAGCAACATGACATTAATTAACGGAGCCATTAATTAATGCATCACCCTCCCCCCTCCTCCCAGTCCATCTGAACCTCATGGCCACGTCCCCCTGCCCTCAGTCCCCCACTTGCCCCCAGGCTGGGATGCCTTTGGGGAAAATGATCAGAATGAATGGTGTAAAGACATGTGCCTGGGCCCAGCCTCTGTGTGTGCACAGAGTGTGTACATGCGTGTATGTGTGTGCAAGTGTATTCAGCAGGGAGGAAAAGTCTGCCCCCCCATTGGGGGCAGGGTGTGTGTGTGTGTGTGTGTGTGTGTGTGTGTGTGTGTGTGTGAAAAGAAACAGGGAATAGGCACAGGCCTGAGTGTGTAAGGGCCAGATTGGGGATGGGATGGCCCAGCCAGGAGTGATCATGTCACTCTGGCTAAGGCAAAGGGCAATGTCTGGTGAAGATTCCTCTGCCAAGAGGTGCAGGCAGTCGCATGTGGTCCCACTGGGGGCCTGACACTAGTGCGAAATGGTTACAATGAGCACCTGGCGGGGTGAGGGACATTTCCAGGATACTGGCGGCTAGGATGGGACAGAAGGGTCTTCACCCTCTGCCCCAGCATTTGGCACTGTTTGACATTCAGCTTTAGAGACAGAGGACCAGCTGGGCTGCAGGTCAGATTAGAGGCGGGTGGTGAGCAGGAGATGAAGTGTGCACATGCCAACCCTCCCACCGACCCCATGCCCTGTGTAAGGCTTTGTGAGCCCCCACCCCTACCCCATGGTGTATGTGTGTTTGTGTATGTGTGTGTGTGTGTGTGTGTTCTCCTTGGTATGTCTAATGTGAGTCCAGTTTCTGCCCTCAGGGCTCCAGGTGTGTATGGGGTTGTGTCTGAACCAGTGTCAGTCACTGGCTTGTCACCCCCACAGCTGGAGGAAGGTGGCTGTAGGCCTGAAAGGGGCAGGTGCCCATTGTGGGGCTGCCTCACGAATTCTCTCCTGCTAGAATGGAAGCTGGGATGCACAGGCCTCAAACTGCCCATCTCAACTTCATTATTCCCAGGGAATCCAGATTTGCTCCTGGGTGGGGCATAAGGGCCAGGTTAGAGGAGTCCAGCTGGGGCAGGGCCTAGGTCTCCCGCACAAAGGGAGCCTTGGGGCAGGGTGGGCAGTGGAGGCCTGGTTTGGCACCAGTACTGTGGCTTCCCTGTCCCAGCCCTAAGGGGTGGGTATGTCCAGTGGGAATAAGGGGTCTGGGGTCACTTGACAGTTCAGCGGTGAGATGTGGCTTGGGGGCCAAAGACCTGCGGCACCCTCCTTTGGGACCCCCCCACTCCAAGGCTCAGACCCTGGGGCCTGGCCGCTCAGGTCCTTCAGTGAGGGAGGAGGCGAGGCTCTAAGGCGGGGTATGTGGGGCAGGGGAGCAGGGGAGAGGCGGGGAGGCCTGGAGAGGGGCGGGGGGGGGCGCTCAGAGGCGGCGCGAGGCGTGGGCGTGGACTTGGGGCTGCGGCCGGGGAGGCAGGCCCAGGAGGAGCAGCAGCTGCAGCGAGACCAGGACGCCCAGCGACGGCGGGAAGGAAGCTCCGCGGCCGCAGTCTGAGGTATCTTCCTGCGGGAAGAGGCAGGGAGCGTGTCGGCCGGCGGCGCGGGGAGGGGAGAGGAAGGGAGGGGGGGAAGTCAAGTGCGCCGCCCCTTCCTCACCGTCGCGTTGTAGTCAAAGCAGATGTGCGGGCCTCTCCGGTATCGCGGTCTCTGCACCAGTTCACACTGCTCCGGGCCGTCCGCTGGGCATGGGTGGGGAGTCAAGGAGGCGGCAGGGCATGGAGGGGGCGCGGGGAACGGGAGGGGGCGCGGGCGGCGGGGAGCAGCGGGGGCAGGATACAGTGTGTCTCCTTCTGCAGCAGCCGGCCAGCCTCACACTGGCTGCACAGCGGCTTCTCGGCCACCACGAAGAGAAGGTTCGTGTTGGTCAGTCTCTGCGCGTGGAACAGCCTGCAGGCGGCACGGAAAGGCGGGGCGTTGGGGCTCGCCCCTCCCCTCCCCGCCGCAGGCCCCGCCCCTCCCCGCCGCAGGCCCCGCCCACCCGGCTAGCCCCCGCGGGGCCCCATTGGGTCCTCCGGTCCGGCTCCCCGCGGGCACCTGGAGCAGTTTCCGCAGTCGATGATGGCGTTGTAGGAGGCGTTCACCGACCCGAAGTAGTACTGAGTCTGTTTCATGACGCAGCTGCTCTCGCGCGCCTCGGGGCTCCCCTCGGCCTCCGCGGAGTCTGCGGGGCCCAGAGCGCCTCAGCCCCACCCGTACACCCTGGCCAGCTCCGGCCTCAGCCGCGCTCAGCCGTAAGCCCCGCCCTCTCTTGGCCCGGGTGTCGTCTGAACTTAGACTCGGGAGGAGAGGTTCGAGGTGGGGCCTCCAGAGCCCTACCTACCTGCCTGGAACCAGCTGTGATAGATGAGGCCATAGAGGAGCTGCTGGAACAAGGACCTGCAGGGTATGAGTGAGAGTGCTCACCAGAGACCAGTGCCCTGCGCCACCACTTCTCTTGTGCCCTCCTGCCCAGGGAGCCCCTCCCTCCCCTCCTCCTCCCTGGGACTCACCAGGCTGCAGCTGAGGTCCACCAGGCCAGGTTAAGGAAGTCTGCAATGGTGGGCTGCAGTGAAGAGAGGGGCATGGGCTGCCACTGCGGTCCGGACCCGGGTCACCCCCAGCTCTCTCCTCAGAAGTGGAGCGTCGTCTGTGGGCAGGTCTCCCATCCCCCCCATTCCTCCCGCAACCTCCTGGCCAGGCATCCCTGAGGCTCACCACAAAGACGCCCCGCGGTGCAGCACCCAGGTTGCCAGGGGGCTGGGGGGCGCAGGCTGCCTGATAATCGTAGGACTCTTTGCGGGTGTAGAAGGAGTTATTGTAGAGTGCCAGCATCAGGTTGGCGTCCAC